TTTATATATATTTTGATGGAAAGTTATATATATATTTTTTCCTTTTTGTCTCCTTTTTACTAACTTTCCATCAAAATATATATAAAACAAAATGTCTTTTTATATATATTCGTTTTATATATATATATGGATGGAAAGTTAATAAAAAGTACACAATAAGGAAAATATATGTATATCTAAAAATGTAACGAAATGCATTTCTAATAGAAAAGCAAAAGACTTTTCCATTTCGTTTTATATATATATTGATAGAAAGTTAGTAAAAAGGAGACAAAAAGGAAAAAATATATATATATAAAAAAATGTCAATGTACTTTTTTCTCAATGCATTTCGTTAAAAAAAATTCGAAAATGTAGCTGATCTTTGTGTTTAAATAACGTAGCTCCACAGAGATTTATATCGATGATGATTGCTGTCCTTTTTGATTTAGAACGAGACAATGTCTAGATCAATCCGTAATTTTTCTGGTTTATTCAGATGTACGCATCTGCCATGTTCAAACACAAAATTGCAGCAACAAGGTCTTCAATGCGTTTTAGCGCCCGACCGGGCTTGTGTACGATCTTCGATCTCTAACTGCCTAAAATTTAATTTGTCAGTACGATCTTACCCCAAAATTTCATTTTACTATGCAGAAAAACGTCAACGTTTACGTCAAGGAGGCACCTTGTTTCCATCAAACCAAATAATTATTCTAAAAGAGTAAGTCCGCATTTGAAGGTTTCTTCTTAATCTCATCGTTTTGTTTTCTATCTATAGATCGGAGAACAAGAGTTACCGGAAAACTATTGGTACGCGCAATGTTGATGATGTAGAATGACTCTCGGGTTTTATTGTAGTTTTTTCCGGGAGAAGGATAACGTTAGCCTCGCAGTGCGAATAGTAATTTGATTTAACAACTTAATTGGATTTGTATTCTAGGTAAATGGGTGGTGAGAAATTTTTGGTTACTCGTTGAGTTCGTTGATAAAATTACGTCGATGTTTTAGTGACAACGAAACTGATTAAAAAGGTGTCAACAATAACTGCAATATGTTCTAATAGACGTTTCCAACTCGTTCCTAAATTGTCTTTCATTTTGCAAATTTGCAAATTTTTTATCTTAAGCTGTTCTTTTTAAAATAGTTTACTCATTTTCTGTATGGTGAATGGTCGTTGTCTGTTTTTAATGTCCTGCTAAACTAATTAAGAGATGTTTGATTTTAACATAAAATTGCAGTTTTCGAGCTATGCGCGTACTTTTTTTTTGTATGATTGAATTTGTCATACTTTTGACAAAAAAATGAAGAATAAAGGAAACAATTAAAAAAATCCTGCCAGATTCCTTATTCTTCCCTTGAATTTAGTGTAGGAACTCACAAAAGGTCCTGGGAAGCCAAAATCATTTTTGATCATTGAACAATTTTATACAATCAGTCTCAGATCTTCATCTAAATCTGGATCATGAATATAAACTTTATTTTGAATAACAAGACTTTGGCAGTTACAAAATTGTTGCCATGTGCCCACGTGATGTGTTTGTTCATGTGTTTATTTTATGCAAGATTTGTTCATGTTTCAGATATCCAGAGATCGACACAGAGTGGCCGCCAAAACGTATGCTCAAAATGTCTGTAGCATTACTCAATCGTATTATTCAAACAGCCAAAATGTTACGACAATCACTGAAAAGTAAGAGATAGACAAAAACACCTTGAAAAAATTCGAACAAGAAAAAGGAATTTTATATGATGGTAATATTAACAAAAAATTGAATATATTAGTTAGTCAAGTACAAGATCGTTATAGTAGTGATTTGATAAAACGTTTTCAAGCACTCGGTTTAGCTCTGGAACTATATAGTGAAGAAAGAAAAAATATTAAACGACCATCACAATTTCTCTCACGAATAATACCATTGATACGAAGTATTCAAAAACAGCTATGTTGTATAGAAAGTGAGTAACATTTCAAAACACAAGACTAGATGATTTCGGTGCCTTAAATCTTGTTGTTCAGATATAATTCAAAAGTTACTAAATGAAAATCAGGATGTAATA